TTGGAATAGATAATTATGTACACTTTTCATATTAGGTAAATTATATTTTTCATAAAACAAACAAGTAATAGGTACATTATTTTTTCAACATAATTAGTATGTACAGTTTTATTCATAAACAATTATAAAGTGGATTATTAGTCATGTATAATTCATAAAAAGAAAATAACATAAACATTTTATTAAACAAACCGATTACCCAAATTTGAATTTATTGTTAAATTTTTTTTTAAATGTTTCAAAATTAATTCTTACATCCATTACAACCATTTGGAGATCTTTCCAAATTCAATATCTGACATTATATACAATCCAATTAAAAACTATTTTCATATTGACTCCTACATTAATATACAAAATGCAATAATGGTTTAGTTGGGGGTATTTTTGGAATCTGAAAAGTACAATAAATCAGATTTTATGCTTAATTAGGTAACTTGCTGAGTTAGATCCTAGTCATGAGTTTTTACTTATACAAATTGGGTATTATTTATAGGAACAAAAAGTGAAGGGTTTTAGGTACGGCAAATTGAATTTGAAGGGTGTAAGCCAAATTTACTATTATTTTTATTTTTATATATAAACGAATATTTTACATTAATTTAATCTAAATAATATGGGGAGGGAGATTGAAATTCAGGTGTGCAAAATGGAGAGCACATTCGTTCTAGTTCTAGCCAACTTAGCTAAGCCCATATATGCTTAACTTGAATTTTTCTTACTTGTTGATTTAGGTCCAAATACTTTATTACATAGTTTTTTTATGTTGAGTTTTCCCTTTGAGGTATAAGGAAAATTACTTTTATATTTTAATATGAAAGAAACTGACATCCTGATTTTATGCATCTTTACTGATTCGAAATTTGAATTATATATATTTTAACAACTATAAATATATTCACTACTAATAAATAGGGAAATAATAAAAGTCATATTAAGGCATTTGCAAGAACATAAAATACCTACAATATAGGTTTGGAAGTAAGGGATTTGTAGCTCGAGTAGTTAAGGGCATTTACTCCTGTGTCCAAAATTCGATGTTTGAATTTCTCCTCCCCCAATCGTTTGTAGATTTGGAAAATCAAATAATAAACCTATATATAGCATAGTTTAAAAAAATAGTATAGGTTTGGAAATAAAATAATAAACCCATGTTAAAGATTGAAAAACATTCTAAAAACTGAATTTATATAAACACACAAGAAAGTGGGGCGAGGACACTCAATACATATGATCTACGATATAGGATGAAACAATTTCAAGAATGTTTGTACAAATATCGTCCCACTAGAATATTCGCCAAAGATTCCTTCGTCTTCTCCACTTCCCTTTCTCCCTGCAAAACAGATCGGGGTAAAAGGACCACACCCGGGGGGTGTTGGCCAAAGGCCCTCCGATGCCTAAGTTAGGTAGGGTATTTCAAGGAAAACCGGGTGGCCGGAGCC